CTCAGCTTGTGTTAATGAGTGGCTTATCAAAACCCTGTAATAAAATTAAATTAAATTTAAAAATGGAAAGATGCTGGTGAGGATGGATTTTGAAAGCCCATATAGGGGAAAAAAAAGAATTCTCAATAAAGTAGGACTAGGTGACCAGGAATTGCCTTATCTATTAAACAGAAAAAACCCATAGAATATTGTTACAGTAACACTGACATAATTAATCTTGAGTAAATTCATCAAGAGATGAAAATTATAATGGGCATCCATTTTTATGCAAAGGAAGCATGTATTGGCTGTGTGTCAAAGTCATTTCAGTAACGGTGAAAGTCTGTTGTGCTTTCATGTGAAGTTATTTTATCTTTACCAAGGTCTTGATGAAATATTCTTAAGAACCTTGATCAGCTTTCATTCTGATTTCATCTGTACCTAAAAACATTCTGACAAATTTTTGGGCAGATACTTTGATCTGAGGAAAAGTGTGTGAGTATGTGTGCCTGTGTATTTTATGAATAAAGTTTTCTAATCCTTTAATTACTTATAAAGGGTTCTCATCATAATTAGCATGCTGTGTAACCACAAAAGAACAATATAAATTTTTGAGCATAAAATATTGTCAAAGTTCATTTGTATGGTGAAGAAAATTAAGCAATACCATATATACATACACTAATAATAAAATTAATACCACATGAACTAAACAGAAAAAAGTAAAATAAAAAATAAATGGACTTGTTAGAAAATAACTAAGAGCATTATGAAGATTTAACCTATGTGTCAGGTTTAAAAAGAACTTTCTAATAGGAAAATCATTATCAGAAATAATAAAAATCTGCCTAGGTTATTTGACACTGCTCCTTTTAAAATGTAGTTGAAAAGTAAATATCCCAAGTGAATTAAAAGGTTCACTTATTTTGGGAGGGGAGTTTTTATTCTTTCTAAAAAGAAAAAAAATGAAGCTAGTAATGTGGTTTCTGAACAGCCCTCTTGGTCAAGGAAATCTAGAGGGCTTTTCAGATCTTCCACAAGTACTGGGACCCTTCAGAGGTTGCCTTTCTGCTGAGGTTTGAACAAATTAAGATGACCAGCTCCTTTCCTTTACCCACAATTGTCCTTTTATTATTCCACTTTCAGAAGCTGATGACTCTGTCTTTAAACCTTTGTGCCAGTACCTGTGTTGTGCAGAGCAGGGCAAGAGGACAAATTGAACTTTATGGTTCTGTAATATCCATTTTCCTGTCTGTGGCACAAAATAGCCAACATCACAAGTTAACTGTTTTCCTAGCATTCAGCTCATGGTTGACAGGCTCCAAGCAGAAGCAGTGTGGTGGAAGGATGTGGCAGAGAATAGCTGCTGACCACATGGTGGCTGGTCAGCAGAAAGCAAACAAAGCAGCCAGGGATGTGAGGTGACTGCACCCTTCTAGGTCATGGCCCTAGTAACCGGCCACCTCTCGCCAGGACCAACTTACACACATGTGAGAGTTTTAAGGGAAATTTTCAATCCAAATCATAATATTTTGTCTTTGAGCCCCAAAAGACTCCTGTCCATTTTATTACCAAAAAAATGTTATTTCTGAAAGTCAATGAAGTGTAACAGTTCCAGCATTGCTAAAAAATCCAAGTCCAAAGTCTCCTCTTGAGACTTGAGGCAACCTTAGTAGTTTGCCCCTATAAAAATAAGAAATTTAAATGCTTCCAACATAACAGTGAATTTTTCTAGGATAAAAATTACCACTCTAAAAAGAAAGAACTGTAGAATACAAAGGAATCAGATCAAAGCCAAGACAGAAGCCAAAAAGCAAATATTAAATCTGTGACTCTTATTTCTGGCCCCTGGGACAATTGTGGAAAGATGTGAGCTTCAGAGGACTTGAGCATACCTGCCCTACAATATTGCTGGAGACAGCCCACATGACCTCTCAGGCTGGCTCCACTCAATGCAAGTCGCTTTCCTCATGGGACAGTCCATTTTGTTGTGTCTCCATCTTTTTGGGGTCTGTACTATACCTTTGGCTTCAATCTCAAAGCTTCATGCATCTGTTTCTCAAGAGCACATTTTTTTGGCCTCTCAAGCTTCTTTCAAAATCTCGGTAGTAGTTTCCCAATCCCACAGTTCTTCTATTGTACATGTGTGAGAAACCAGAACCATTTGGTTGACACTAAAGTGTGCAGGTATTGTGCACCTTGGACCATCACTATAGCACTTGAACAGTGTGTGGATGTTGAATGTGAGGAAAAACTCTGAAACCTTGAATGAAGAGGATGAGACCCTGGCTCTCTTCTGACAGCAGTCCTTCAAGGTATTTACCTTTTATACCCCTAAATTTATGAAAGGGGGCTCTGGCCATTTCCTGAGATGCATCCAAACCATCTTTCCTATTTTCCTGATGTAAAGTACTTGGCTTCTTTTTGCTGTGATCTTTTCAGCTACCATATTGTCTTGGCCTCAGCTTTACAGGCACTTAGCTTCTGGCAACCAGCAAAACTTTCTACATTTTTCAGCTCTGGTGTTTGCTCCTGATTCCCACCATCAATGTGGCTCAAAGCAGCCAGCAGTACCCATGAGGCAACATAGAAGACATTGAAATTTTCTTAACTAGATTCATTAGTCCACTGCCCTAAATTCATCTGCATACAAAGTCTTAGGACATGGATGAAATGTAGACATGTTCTTTGCTATTTTGGAACACGTAGTGTGTTCTAGTACAGTCTTCTTCATTTTCATCTGAAACTTCAAGAAGATAGTGTTTACATGCTGCATTCTGATCAGTGTTCTGCTCTTCTGATTTTCTGTCAGAATTACCCATCATACTCATTTAGAGCATTCTGGGTCTCCTTTAACCTGCGTCTCCAAATCTTTCCAAACTTTTCCTACAAACCAGTTCCAAATTTCATGATCAGGATAGTCATAGCAATTCCACTTCTGGTGTTAATTTTCTGTATTAGTCACTTTGCTATCAGTAGAACAAAATATTTGACACCCGTAATTTAAAGGAGATAAAGTTTATTTATGGCTCACATTTTTGAGAGAATTCAGTCCATAATTAACGGCTCCCTGTAGAAAAATCATGATATAAGGGCGTGGGTCAAGAAAACTGTTCACTCCACAGTGGGAAGGAAGCACAGAATGGAGGGAGGAACCAGGCCAAAAGCATACTATTTCATGGCACGTCCCAAGTGACCTGTACCACCAAGCAGGCCTTGCCTCCAAAATCAAGAGACTTATGTGGGCATTTTACAACCAAGTCATGGTGGCCTCAATCGTTTTAGGCTGAGGCTCCCCAGTGTTATGTGAATTATACAGCCCCTTATGTGAGGTACCTCCCTTACCCTATAGTTGAGATTTTTCACCTATTGCATTTTGCTGTTCATCACTGTATGGAACTCTGTAGTTCTTCTGACAGTGAAAACAGTGAAAGGAGAAGCCTGTGGAGGAAGGTGAAGTCCAAGTTCCTGACATGATCAGTGACCCTGACTGAATAAACACCTCGGAGTCTTCAGACACCCAGAGGCTCTGTAGGAGACTGCCCCCTACCTTAGTCCTTCACAGATACTTCGCCTAAGAGAATTGTAATTTTGAGTGCAAAGAGACCTCAATGTAATGTCTCTAATAGAGAGTGGCTCTGTGTCTTCTACAACTCTAGGTATTTCTTAGTAGCTTAAAGTTTTATCTCTAGTCCATGAAGTATTTCAGAGTCACTCAATTTCTTGCTATGAAAAAATGTACATTCAAATGTAGGCAAAGAATTTTAAAAGTAGCAATATGTGACATTGGAAACTGGTGGTATGTAAAAGCTATACGTATAAAAACAACATCTCAGTATTAAAGAAAAAACTTGCTTTAATTAAAAAAATACCCTAGAAATGTTGTTATGAGATAAATGATAAGTCAGACAGTATGTTTGCCACAAGTAAGATAAGCAGGGATTTGATTATATAATACATGTAGAGCTCTTTGAAATGAATAAAGTGTATCCGTACAAGCTCATGGCATAAATACTTAAAAAATAAAGTTCTAAATGCAGATACAAATATTTAAAAGTACTCAAAAACATGATGTTATTTTTCTCTTATTAATTAAACAAAAATTTAAATAATAGTCTTCAGGAAGGATAAGAGGAAAAAATATAAGCTTATTTTGAAAATATACATATAAATTTATTACACATGTGATTAAATCTTCAACAGTTTTAAGGTGTAAAAATTTAAGAAAAAATATACAGACTACTATTGTTAGTGTTTTTTGCTACTTTGGCAGTCATCAGAATCTTTATCAATTTCAAACTGTATTGATAGACTTCTTTATGAAAAATGATGGGTTTAAAACACCTAAGCTTTCTACTAGTTTATTAGTAGAAAGTTTTTTGTTTCTTGATGTATTATTCATATATATGTATGTGTGTATTATATATAACATTGCTTATCAATAAAGTCCAAGAAAATGAGTCATAGTTTATTTCCAACTCTCTTTCATCATCCATTTTATGTAATTTTCACAATATTAAATTGTCTTCTGTAACAGTATTTTGTACTTTGCTATTGATGGATGCTAAAAAAACCAAAAAAAATTAAAAACATGATTGTGTGCATATGTATATGTAATATTATAAGACAGATGTCCTATTAGATCTTTGCAAATATTGCCTTTGTTATTAGAGCCTTGAAAACGTATTTTTTTCTCAATAACTTTGTTGTTCAAAGGCATCCTCTTCTAGGCCCTAATTGTAAATTGTTTCTCTTTTTCATTTTGTTCCCTTCTTCTTCGTTTTCCCCCTCAGCTGCCTGTTTCTACTACATCATATTCTCATTACATTTGGAGTTTCTTCTGTGTTGATGGAAAATCTGATTCAGTAACTTTTTCAAATAAAAGAGTTGCATGAAAAACTTTTCTTTGCATTTACAAAGCATTTTTATTTTTCCCAACATCTGTTTGACAGTGTATGAAGGTTTAAATTCAGTGTCACTGATCTTTGAGATTTTGTTTTTGTTTTTGTTTTTTATTACAGGGTCTTGCTGTGGAGCCCAAGCTGGCCTCGACCTTACTGTAAGCCTCCTGCCACAACTTCCCGAGTTCTGGGATTACAGGTGTGTGCTACCACTGTGACTGACCTTTAAGATTTGAAAATCATGATTTTTGGTTTTGTTTTCTTGCAGACAGGAATGGTAGGCTATTGCTGTTTTGGTCAGGATTGCATTAAATAGCAATTTTGAGAGCATGGCCACTTTCACTGTCTTTTCTCTTCCTACTCAAGAGCAAGGTATCTCTTTACATTTCTCCACAGGCTCTCAGACCTCTTTACCAGAGTACTAGAGTTGTCAGGGTAAAGGTCTTTTACTTCTTTCATTAGACTGATTGTTGAATATTTCATTTTTTCATTGCTATTGTGAAAGGCATAGTTTTTCTAATTTCTCTCTCCGTGAGTTTGTCATTGTATATAGGATGCCCTAAATTTTTGAGTGTGACTTTGCAAACACTTATGCCACTGAATTTGGCTATTGAATCTAGAAGTTTTTGGGGTGCTACATATAGTATCATGTGAATAATGATAATTAACTATTTCTTTTCCTATCCTTACTCCTTGTATTTCTTTCTCTTATTTAATTGCTCTGGATAATATTTTCAGAATTATATTAAATAGGAGTGGTGATAGTAGACATCCTTGTCTTGTTCCTGATTTTAGAATGAAAGCTTTCAATTTTTGATCATTTAATATGATGTTGGCTGTCAGTTTGTCATAGATGGCTTTTATCAGATTGAGATAAAGACCATCTATTCCAATTTTCTGTAGTGATTTTTGTTATGGATGGGTGTTGGATTTTGTCAAATGCTGTATCTCTATCTGTAGAAACCATTATTTGACATTGTCCTTACCTCTGCTGATTTGTTATATTTCACTTATTGATTTGTATATGTTGAACCATCACTGACCTTACATGAACCCTATTTGATTGTGGTGTATAATTTTTTTGATGATTTGCTGCTTTCTATTTGCCAGTAATTCATTGAGCATTTTGGGGTCTACGTTCATTAAGGTGATTGGCCTGTGGTCCTCTTTTTGGGTTGGATCCTTCTCTGTCTGTAATTCTTTGCGTTTATACTCCTCCAGTATTTGGTAATGCTTAACTATTTATGTTTTGAATCAAAGACTAGTTTAATTGGTGTATCTACTTGGCCTTGGATTATTTTACACTGTTATAGGTCTCTGTCTAAAATATCTTGAACATAACATTCTCATTTTAAAACTGTGAAGGACAGAATTTGGTGACAGAGGCTTTGCACAGTGCTGCTGGTGGGTAGAGAGGACACTGTCCTGTGGTGCTCTTTAATGTCACCCAGGAAGGATGACTTTACTTCAGGAATGAGGACTCTTAGACAATTCTTTTCTTGGCTAACCATTACAGACTTGATTTTCCTATGTTCTAGAGGTTTCATATTTCTAAGACACGCTGTGATTCTTTCTGTCAGACTTCAGTAGCTGTACTGGATCCCTGCACTGGAAGAGCATCCAGGGTTACGACAGAAATTGCTCTGTGTTCAACCTGATTGAAAAATCTTGTTTCTTAAAAATTAGTGGGAACTTGTGAGAAAAAAAAAAAGAAGAAATGTGTATTTTATACTGAACAAACAGAGCCTTCCTTGAACTAAGTGGGGCTTAAATGGCAAGAATCTGAGAGCTATTTTTATCCTTTACTCAGTGTTCCTACTTGAGGGAACAAACCTTCAGGGAAATGAGCTGACACTCAGAAACAAATTTATGTTCATGTTGAATTATCAGAACACCACATAGTACTGAAAATGTAATCAATGAGAATGCTTAAGTGAATGTGATTTACCCATCCAGTTATGTCATAATATCATTAAAAGTCACGTGTCTGAAGTTTGTACAATTTTTTTTTTGGATAATCTTCATAATATAATACTGAGCTGAAAGCTATACATATGACTGAGTAAATATGAGGTATTTACAGATTAGTAAAAAGAACTGTGCATTTGTTGACAAAGACAATTCATGTATGTCAGGTTAGCAGTGTAGCTAAATCTGACAAGGTTACTATCGCTAGTATTTTTTTCTTAATAAGTTTTACACTTGTTTTTAGTTTTATATGGCGAGCATATTATTTAGTATTTATGCATTAAAACTTGAAAGGTGAATATCATCTTCCTATGTTCAGTCCTTGAGAGAGGGACCCCACATCTGTTCTGTGCCTCTATCCATAGCTCTCTGCAGTGTTGCAAGGTGCCACAGGTCACATTGGAATTGTCCTTGTGTGTCTGTCTTACCTGTAAAACCTGACTGTAAATTCTTGTTCTTTGATGACAGAGGTCATATGACTGTTTTTATTTTACTGTAGCTTGTGTAGAATAGGCACACAGATTCATTATTTTCTTGGTATATGCTCAGAGTTTGGTGTTTGTGAAATAGAAACAGCAGTTCTCAAAGTGTGGTTCTGTGGATCCCTTAGTGTTTACAAGGCATTTGTAAGCATTCTGTGAGGATATTTCTATTGGTGTTTTTTTCATTACATTGACAATTGCACTGATTGCATAAAACAGTTGTGAGTGGAATGAACCTTAATATAAATGAAGGCAGTGACCAGAAATTGTACTCAAAGTTATTGTATTCTTCATCACCATAAACTGATACCAAATAATAAAAACCAAACAACAGCCAATTTAAAATATTTTATGAAATAGTAAAAAGGACTAATTATATTACATCATGATTATTGAATACATAATTTTAAAATTTGCTTTGAGAAATAAAGGGGTGTTTACAAAAAGTGGTTCTGCTGTCCGGGTAAAAGATCCATTTCGGGTGCAAGGTAGACCAGTAAACTTTATTGTAACAGACTGCATAAAGTTCACTGATACGGTTTCAGACTCCACTTTACACCTAACCTTTAAGAAGCTTCAACTTGTCAAATTTGGATATACTATCAGATAAGAACATCGCTATTATCTTTAAAGGCTGTTAACATCCTTTCCATCTCTAAAAACATTTCTCTGGGTAGCCAGATTTTTTCCTACACTTCAACCAAAATAACCTATTTCAACAGAGTGAATTCAGAGGCAGATGTGAGAATTCAACTCTCTTCTGTTAAGTCAAAACATTAGAAATGTGTAAAAATATAAAACATGACCTTTCATACTGTTTTTTTTTGCCAATGTAGTTATATTTTATAAGTATGTTATGTCAATGTGCAGTAGAGTTATTTCTATTGAATTTATATAAATTAATGAGTAAATACTAAAGTTTCTGAGTTTAAATTCTATTATCTTGAATATTGATATAACCACATATAAAAACTCTAGGTTCTTTAATTTTTTTTAAAAAATGTAAAAAGATATTTAATAGTTCCACAGTTTCTTTCTTTTCACCTGTTAGGATAAAACATTAGTTACCTGATCTAAAGCTACATGTCACTAAAGTGCAGAGGCAGAGATTAAACTAATGTTTGACGGCTGTAAGCCCTTTCTCCTAAACATTTTTATATTGAATCTTTGAAATGTAATGGGCTCTCTAAGTTCTCTGTCAATATCTCATTCTGAATAATTTCTTGCTTGATTATCACTTTTATCAGTCTCGTATCCAGCCAGTTCTGAGCACTGATGGAGTGTATTAAGAAGAGCTTTTGAGGAATCTTGTATGCATTTCTGAAACATCTTTGACATCCTTAGCAGTTACCAACCATTCTTTCTTCAGTTAGAATTGACTTCTAGTTATCACACCTGTGCCTATTCAAGCTTTAGACACTCTGTAAACTATTTTTTCCACTTCTTTGTCTCATCTGGATTTGAATGTGTTCAATTTTTAGCGAGCACATTGTTATCACAATTGTTGTTAACACTTACTATTGTGCTTTGCAAGTTAAACTACCATTGTTAAATGGCTCCCATAATTTACTACCAATTACTATTATAAGATTTCTCGTGCAGTATTAACAATCAGTATTGAAACTGCAGTATTTCTGTGTGCAACCATTGTGACAGTTTGGTCTCCAGCAGCTGGTAACATCTCCCACCCCAGGCCTGTAGTTTGAGTCTCTGTGTGGGAAAGATGCGAAGTTGTGGTACTTTCCAGTGCAGCGTCTTTCTCCAACCTTGAACTATAAAATTTCATGGTTACTGCTGTGTCTCCTCTGGGAATTTTTTTCTTTAGCTTATCTGCCCCTGTTAGATCAATTGCTCCCTTTCTAAAAACGCTGATTCTGTCTGGATTCTGACTTGGCTCTGCTTCGAGGCCTCCAGAGTCTCTGGAGTAATCAGAAGAAGGATGTCCTTTCCTAAACCTGAAACAGAGATGCATGCAGAGGTTTGAGATCCCATCCATCCTCTCTACAATCCCCTGAGGAAGACCAACCTCTGTGGCCCCTAGTGACCTATGTGAGATCATACTGGGAGATCAATCAGATATTTGGTGACCTGGATTTTGAATATCATTGCAGCATTCCAAGTGTTCTCTAGGTAGTACTCTGCTTTTTGGGTAGGAACACAATGTAAACTCTAATTTTGTTCAGAAAATATCATACTTATCATTTGTAGATCTAGTCTTTATAGAAAAAGCTGTTACCTCCATACTAAATACCTATGCCCTTCAAGCATTCACATCCTTTGACTTTATCTAAAATTGTTTGCGTTCCAGATTTTGCGAAAAATCTGATACTATTTTGTCATGTTTAATTACTAGTCAGGAAAAATACTATGAAGCTTGAGTAAAATTAATTAATGGCTGAAGGAATTGGATACCATTTATGTCCTTTGTCCAGACTTAGCTTCTTTCATTTATAACCTGACATGTTGGCTGGCCTTGTTATCAAACCTTGCTTGTCTGAATCCTCTCTGGCTATTTATTTGTACACCCTGACCTACTGTTATGTGCTTTCCTGATACTAGCTCCAAAGAGAAATGTACTGATAACTTTGTTACCACTTGGAGCAGCCTAGTGACTTTATCTTTTAGACAATTTCTGTTACCCATCTGTCATGGTTTATGTTGGTAGCCCCCGGGCCTCATGCATTTGCATTATGCATTTGTGACTGGTTCATTGTCTAGCTCTCGGATTGGGGGTGTGAGTGCTACACTG